AGTTCATGTACTCACTGGCAATCAGACGGGTGTATTCGAGAGAAGACCCGATCATGTTGAACAGATTCACATTTGAAAGTAAAACGAAGAAACAGTCTCCTTTTGTCTTTTGTCTTTTATCGGCAACTGTTCATTTTCCTTATTTGCATTAATTTAGAATTGTATATTGTCATATGCTTCTTCATCATTTTATTGCAGACGTATTCCTTGACAACTCAACACCACTAGAAATTGTTCCATTCAATTGTAGATCGATCAAATGGAATGGTTGTTTTTGACCGAGTGGGTTGCACTTCCAGTGAAATAATTCCATTTGTCAATTTGTTGATACTTGTTCGAATCAGTAGTTCGAATCATTCAATAGCCATTTCTGTCAGTTCCTCATGAAGTGTTTTCGTCATGGTTTTATGAGTCATAAGTTCCAAGGATGTTGCCAGCATGTGCGTGCTTATCGATATATTCTATCAGAAGTCCTGGAAACACCATCTCTCGATATCAGTAGTTAGGTGAACCCAATGCTTCACTGAAATTGCTTATCGAAATTTATCGTTTAGTTCCACCTTACAATTGGTTCATTTCTCGTTCCACCATTTTTTGAGGCGCATTTCATTGTGATGTCTGTGTTTGTGTTGGATCCTTGAACATGTGCTCGCTGTGACGTGCTGTATTGTTGTATTGTCGAACGAACAGACGTTTGAGCATCACGCGATCGTCGAATCAAGAATGATGATTAATCGACGAACCCTGACCGTGTATTGATTTGATTGCAGTTCAACCAACTCGAATCAACTACAGTGATTGATTGGCTTCAGTGCATTTCGCATCGGCGTTTTCTTGCGTCGTATGCCAACAAGAACAGGAAAATTGCAGAGCACAAAGATTACCGGATAAATTGTCTGGAGTGTGATAGCATTCCGTCATATTTTCAGCTATCATTATAATATTTTTATTCACTTATCGATCCATTGATTGAATATCCAATCTTGAATTGTTCAATAAATCGTTCAAATACAACGAACCATCATTCGAGTTCATTTCAATCATATTATCATTATCATCCGAAGACAGTTAGCTGTGATAACAAGATAGCGATGTCCTCGCCAAGCGCTGGAAAAAGGCGTATGGACACTGATGTGATTAAACTGTACGTTTTGTTTTCTTGTTTATTCGTTACGGTTTTGTTTATTATCACTATTCATGATTAAACACAGGTATTAATACTGTTTCTCAAAGTCATTCAACAAATTTGCAGAATTGAAAGTAAGCATGAAGTAACAATA